AGCTAACGTTTGGGAATCAGTGTGTGCCTCACTTAACGCACATGTTTACTGTTAACATTTCTCGTGGTTTGGAAGGTATTGCCAAATAGGTGTGGTCTTGACAATAACCTGCCTCCCAGAGTCAGAGGATTATTTTCAGTCCCCTCCTTTATAGACAAGGAAACGGGTCAGGAGGCCTCATGGACTTGCTCAAGGCCCACGGCAGACTGTGGGCAGCACTCAGGACCCCAGCCCAGCTCACCCCTGCCCTTCGATACAGTGCTGGCTGTCACCCAGGGGGCCCGGCCCAGGGGTGCTGTGCACCTCACTGCATGGATGACTTGCTGTGGGCTGTCCTCTCCCTCGTGGAGCGGTGTGTGCGTCTGGGGCCAGCGACCCTGGGACCCTGCACCAGGGACTGTGGCTCCGGGAGTGTTGGCAGGGAGAAGAGTGCACAGGTTCCAGAGCAGAGGGACAGTGAGCCTAACAGAACCGTTACTGTGGGGACTGTACATGCGATTGTTCTGCCATTAGCAGTGCTGTTTGCAAGTACACCAGTTTCCTAGACTTCCACAAACACATGACCCCCTTTGTCCCTTTCCAGCCCTGCTCAAGGCAGTCCCAGGGCGAGGCAGGGGCCTGATGGAGCCTCCCCCGCCTGTCTGAATGAACTCAGCGCTGGGGGGGTGGCAGCTCAGCGCCTCCTGTGGCCTCTGCTATGGGGTGAGCGCCAGGGAAGAAAAGAGACGGTCTCTGGTTCCCACTTCACGTCCCCCTTTGAAAACGGAGACACTCATTTTCATAACCGAAATGCTGCTGAACTCTGGGAGCAGAATCCCTAGACGACCAAGCCGGAGTGTGCGTCTGCTGCAGACATCAGGAGAGTCACGCGAGGCAGGTGGACATGGTGGCATGCGGGCAGCGGAAGTCTCCAGAGGCGCAGGGAGCCGTGGGCCACCTGAGAGCAGAGTTGGTGGGAGACGCTGTGGAGCATGGTCACTTTGCCCCATTTGGAAGGCATGTGAATGACCACAGCTTGGTATAGGGGTGGGAAGTCACTATTAATAGATACCCAGTGTGGTGGAAGAAGTTCATTCCCCCTTCCAGATAGTGCTTTGTTCTGTTTCCTCTTTTCTCTTGAGTATTCGTTACGGTGGCCCAGTCGGTCCTGTCTGGGTCATCTCTGCACAAAGCTAGAAGGAAGCCTGGACAGCCTGGGAAACAGTGCCTCCCACACCCACCTCGTTCACCTTGGACACCTGGGTCAAACCACCCACTCACACGTTCCTCCTTGGAGGGCTGGACTTACATCCAGCTCAGCCAGTGAAGGCTCCACACTGCGCGAATAGCCCAGACTGGCCGGCTCCTGCACGGGGTACTTCTGCCATGACCCATGTGTCCCACCCCGTCTTGTGCAGGTCTGCGTCCGGGGCTCAGCGTGGGTGCAGGAGGGAGGCAGATCTGTCTCAGGGGTGTCCCAGGATCACACCAGTGTGGGAAAGTCGGACCAAGGCTCATGTAACCCAGACTCGATTCTGTCTGTGCTCATTCTCAGCTCCGTGAGGCCAGCTGAGCTCAGCCAGTGGTCCTCAGTGTCCCCAGCGTAAAACCCAGGAACAGGCTCGGAGGACTTGAAGTAGCCACCACAGTCTTGCTTCTGTGACATTAAATAAATTACTTGGCCCCTTCATACGTCTGTCCTCAGTAATTTTGGTGTTTTTAGACACCCAGAGTCCTTCATTTATTTCAGAAGAATTTTTCCTCATAAGTGAGAACCACCAAATTGGGCTTAAAATGATTAGTCCTCCTGACAGCATATAAAATGATTGTTAAATGAACCCCAAACCATGTTCCTTTTTCTCTGCTAAAAGAATGGATTTAATCTCCTTAGTTTTTATCTTTGAAGATGTTGAACGGCACCCCCAGCCTCAGGCCCTGGTCAATGGTTCTGGAGCAGTGCCCACGCCATGGTCCTCCAAGGCCGGACGGTCCCAAACCTCATTCGAGGCCATGGCTAATGGAAGAGGGGATGACCTATGTCGTCCAAGGGGGTGCATTGCAAGGATGGGGGAAGAGGAGGCGAGAACCGAGTACACAAACCCGCAGGAGACATGCTTTGTCCATTCCTTAGAGCATCCACTTCTCCCGCTGTGAGCCCACATGCAGATTCCATTGACCCCATTACGTTGACCCCGATTCCGCACGTGCACTCAGCCAGAAGTCTGCATGACTTCCCTGATTAACTTTCCCTAAAGAAAAGGATGCTTCTGAGCATCATGAGACACCAGGCTCTATGCTGGCAAGGTCGTCCCTACTTCTCGAAACCGCCTTCAGAGTACAGAGCTGTTGTTCCAGACGTACAGGGAGAACTGACAGCTGCTGCCAGAGTGAGAGCCTCATCCCTCCCTTCCCACCTGCCGTCACACGTGGGGCCCGGGATCTGACCTGCTGCTGTAGACGACCCCGGTGATGCCGACACCCTGCTGACCACCACCAGCGCTTTAAGAGAGTCACTTCCTTTGGATAGCACAACATCTTTTTTTTAAATTTCCCAACCAAATTTTGAGTTGACCTTTGGACTGAATTTCTCATCCTCCTTTTCTTTGCTTTTCATGGGATTCTGTTTATAAAGGAATGCTGGAATATGCTTGCTAATATGAAATGTTTGTCTTCTCATAATAATGAAAGGATGCCGTGCAGCTGATGGGATGGTGAGCTCGTGCAGTGTGGTGTAAGAAGTCATAAAGAATCTGAAAGCTTTTAAAGGGCCAGCAAGTATTGTAAACTAAGACTGGAGAGGGGTGTGGTTCAGTAGGTGTGAGTGCTTGGTCATTTAGCCTTAAAAAACAAAAAACAAATTCTGTGAGTTTTCCCTTTAACTATTAGACCACTTTGTGTTAGAGCTGGAATTGACAAAAATTCAAAGCTCACTTAAGAATGTATTTGCATGCTAGATTGCACTAATTAAACAAAAATTAAAACTTGGATTGTTGCTTTTTCCTGTAACTTTATCATCGCTTATCGGTGGAGTTGAGGTTGAGGCAAAAGCAGGAACCTGGACAATTCTCCACATGGACGACGAGGTCTAAGTAATAATCTCGTGGAAAACTAAGATGCTCCCTGTGGCACTGACCTCAGGGTTATGGGTGTGGTTCTGTGGACTAGTCTAGGTATGTGTGGTCTCACCAGCAAAAGGTCAGCCTGGTAGACATTTCAGTGGAATATGGGGGTCATGATTCCTTTTGATGCTGAGAATTTGGATTTCTTTCTACTTTAGTGTTTGTAATTATTACATCAGCAGTGTCTGCCCCCAAATTAAGTCACAGTTAATATTCGTCAGACCCCAGTAGTCAACACCTCCCACCTTTAATTTGTAGTGTTCACTGTGTATGATAAAATACTTGTTTTTCCTTCTGCCCCAGGGGAAAAGGGGGTGGGCTGGGATCTATAGTACTCTCAACAATAAAGATAATTTTTTAAAAACACCCTGGGGAAAAAAAAAAAAAGAAGAATGTTTTTCTTTTAACATCTAAAAAGGTAGAACACTCACATAAAAAAAAAAAATACTGTAGAAAAATGCCATTGCTAACGTTTAATTGTTCTCCCTGAGCCTCTTGGAAGCTGCATTCCTTCAGCATTATGTTTGTGTTAGAGCATCCTCGTGTTCGGCTGTTCGATAACTTACTGGAGAGCAGAGGGTGAATAGCATAAAGTGGTTCCTAATATGGTATCGTTTTCATTTCCTGTTTGTGGAAAGATAAATGCCAACACTGTGGGGCTCCCCTCCCCCGTGATTTATTCCTCATCGACCACAAGGGAATAAAAAGAAAAAACTCAAGTGTGAGAGGGCTGCAGCCCGGACGGCTGTGAGGACGGGGAGGGCCTTCTCTCTGGCTGGTGCCCCCTCTGCTTCCCCACTTCCTGAAACACCTCTCCCTTAGAAATACCCTTACTTTACAGTGTCTTACGTGGTGGTTCTTCTGGATAACTTTAGACTTACAAAAAGTAATTGATGTTTAAAAGGTTTAAGGTTAATTATGTGATATAGAAGGAATGAGTCCTTCCTCAATTCTGTGTCTCTCCCTACACCCTCCCTCCCTCCCTCCCTCCTTCCTCCTTCCCCCCCCCTCCCTCCCTCTCTCATTAATCTCTTGCACATTTCCCCAAAACTCCATAGCGGTTTTCTTTAGTGTGCCACTGTCCTTTGGGCACACGTGTCCACCTCTTTCACAGAGGTAATTGTGTGTCTCCTCTGCTCAGCTGTCCTGAACTATGGGAAATGCCATGTTAAAACAGTCCAGGGCAGGCATTAAAGCAAGTAACGTCCAGTAAAGACTATTTGAGTCCCTGCCATGTGCATCCAGTCAGAAGCTCCTGTGCCTTCAGGAGAATGTTCTGTGGAATGAGGAGGTCGCAGGTTTCGGTCAGATGAGAGGCAGCATGGTGTAGGTGCTCACACGGCGGCTACATGAGTTCGCTCACTGCGTTCCTTTGAAAAGGAGAACCCGCAAACCCTGCAGCCCTCACCTGCCCTGCCACCAGCATCGCCAGCGCTGTGTCCATCTATGCCTACCTGCTGGGGAAGGTGAGGCTCCCTCTGCATACACGCACCAGCTGTCTAGGACTTTTCCCAGCCACAGCAGATGAGTTTACGAGTTTCAGCTCCCCGGCTCATTTTCTTTCGGCTTCCTTGTGAACAGGCTGGTTAATAGGCATGATTCACGTTTCTGCCTTAGCTGTCTGTATCACACGGGACTCCATGGTGCCAGCAGGTCTGGGAGCTCCAGTTAAAGGCCGCATCTTGTGTTGAGAAATCTCACACTGGCACCGCCAGTTACTTGGAGTTGGGCACTGGTCATACAGATTGTAAAATGATAAGGCAATGACAAATATTTTGCTGTGTGTGACAGTGCCATAGTGTAATTTGGAATGTGTATCATTTTGGATATAATGGTATGTAAGCATAGCAGGGTATTCAAATCTGGATTCAAAGAAATAACAAAGCATTCTCTCCCTGCCAGCTTGCGAAAGACAAAGAACGCCTGCAAGCCATGATGACTCACCTCCACGTGAAGTCCACCGAGCCCAAAGCCGCCCCCCAGCCCGTGAGTACCGCTGCGCCCAGGGCCAGCCTGCCAGCGCCGCCCTCCCCGGCATAGGCAGGCACACAGGCTGCTCTGCTAGCACTGGGTGGTGAAGGCCTTGGGTTGAACTGGCTGTTCCTGGTGACCTTTTATAAAGAGGGTGCTGTTAGGCCTTTAGGGAAGTACAGGGTGATGTGGGCATAGTCCTGGTTCATGGGGCCCAAACAGCCAGCTCTTGTTTGGAGCAGATGATGGACACGACACCAAGGTGCTAAAATATATTATGAGAGCTCAGGGGGAGAAAAGAAAGGTAGTGATGCAGAGAGAAGGCAGCCAGACCATGAGGAAGAGTAGGAAGGCCTGGCAGCCTGGGGAAGCTGAGAGACAGTGACAGGAGGAGCAGCGGTCCCGTCTGAGTGTGAGAGGAAGGAAACACCGTCAGAGCCGTGAGCAGCCGAAACTGGAGAACACCGAGTTTACAGTGAATGTGACTCCTTCGCACCTAGGAGACCCACATGGTACACTGAAATTGTGGTCAGCCTTAGGAGTCCCGTTTCTTAGGAGACCAAACCTGGTACACTGAAATTTTTGGTCAGCTTTTGGATTCCCCTGTCTCTTGCCTTGTTCCCTTTTCCTTGACCTCAAGGAGCACATCCAGGCATAGACAGTTAATATCAAGCAGAAGGATGGTAGGTATCCTCATGTCTTGTCTTGGACATCATTTCTTATTCTAAATTCATCTCTTTAGTTGTATTTCTCATATACTTATATTTCTAAAAATCTCTTAGTACCTTCAACTGATTATTCAAAATAGAGTTGCTTTGCTCTTTGATTTTTAAGATTTGTAAAATTTAAAGGTACACCGCCTTTATTTGATTTTGCATGGAGTCACTGTGTGAAAGTTAATTGAGCGTTGACAATCTATAGTTAGTACCAGCAATTTTAATCAACATGCAATGATGCAACATAATGGCAAAGTATTGGTTTATCTGTTTGGACTGATTTTTTTCTATAAATAAAGCAAACATACACCCATATATGTATGATTTATGGTGATAGAAATAAAACGGAGTCAGACTATTAACCAGCAAATATGGTAGCCTGCCAGTATGCAGTTGGCAGACAAAATTAATATCTGAGACAGAACACATTACTGAGACATAGGACATAAAATCATTAACACTGCACATCGTTCTCACTTGAGAAGCGCCCTTCATTTCCACGCACTGCAGTGAAGGGCTACAGGGCCGAGGGTGTTGGCCACCACCAGCAAGAACGGGGAAAACGCAAGCCACTCTGTGTGTTGTGGAACCAGTAGTTCACGGTGCTCTATCCTGCTGTTTCTGTCGATCCCTCCTTTTGACAAGATCCCGGAAATCACATGGACTCAGCTAAGCAATGTGGTGAGACCCTGAAATGGTGGAGGTCTCCCGTGGGCACAGCCACTTCTCTAGGGATGGTCACCTTCAGACTCGGGAAGGGTTCCAGTGGCCTTGGGTGGAGGGAAATGGCTCCCCCAGGGTGAAGGGTGTGATTCTCCCTAGTGACCAGGAAGATGATGGGGTCATCTTCTACTTCTTCCGTGGATCAAAAACAATGATAGAGCAATGTCTGGACTGCAGGAACCGACTCATTTTGGATCATGAGGCTTCTTGGGAGGAGGAGAAAGGATAGAACCAGAGAAGGAATTGCCGAGCCCCAGGGGCACTCAGCGGGGGTTGGGGGAGCTGCATGCACAGGAGCCCAGGAGGGCACGGCCTTCGGAATCTCCCTGAGGACCAGCGGTGAGCAGCCAGTAGACAGAGAAAGCAGTCCCCAGGGAATGCGCAAAAAAGTTTGTCTTGATTAGTATTTAAAAAAAATGCTTTACATTCTAGAAAATTATAACTTTGAAGGAGACCTCCTACTAAATTTATTTTTAACTGCTCTATTGAAAATTCTCTACCACTAGTCAACATTATCTCTTAGTAGCTCAGCACAGTATTTCTTTATTAAAAGAAATAGGCACGAATATTTTTGACTGAAAAATTAATAGCTTTTGAATTCATACACAGCAGGTTTTCTTTTGCAAAGAAGTCCAATATCGCCGCGCAGCACTGCTACAACCATTTATTTAGAGTCCAAGTCGAGCCTTTGACAGCTCGAGCGCGCGACAAGCCAGCATAAAGACTGCGCGATGTAAGCCTACAATAGGCCGTCTGTGTGAGGTTCGCCATTGTCAAACACACAGATTGTTTGGATTAGTTTATGTAAATGTACTGTTGTATTACCCTTTGAAAAATAAAAAGATCACATTTGTGTATGAAAAGTGGTTCCCTTCACAGGCAGCATTACAGATTCCTTACCCTTTACGGTGCACGTGAGAAGTGCTGGAGCCTGGCAGCACGGTGCGACTCCGTCGCTGCTGCCGACCTGCCTTCTTTTCATTTGTTGGAAAATAGAAAATTTTATTATAGATGCCGTCTCCTAAGTCAGGGATTATTAAATATGTGTAGGTGAGGCATTGGGAAATTAATTACAAAAGGTAGATGTGTAGTGTTTTGCATACATTTTTACTTCCTTGACCCCAAAAAAGGGTAAAAAAAAAAAAAAAAAAAGCACATGCTCATAGCACAGCCTTAATTCTTTCAGCTTTAGTGCTGTGCAGCCGTCTGGTGATGAGTCTCATGCAGACATTCCCTTTCGCCTGTAATTAATTTATTTCACCTTAAATAATAGAATACAAAGCATACGTTTGAGTGCATATTCTTCTAGAGTCTTTTATTTGAAATAAGCAACCACCAGGATTCAGATCTAACCATAGATGGGGCCTTGCTAGTAAATTGGAGTTTTCTTTCCATTTCTGTTTAAAAGGAACTTCATGTTTATTTTTAAGTTCTCAGTTACTAAGTGATAGAATGCTTTGCTGTAAGCGTTGCTTTGGCCTAAATGCCATGGGGTGGCGAGTGCCATTTGTCGTATCCAGTCTTCAGCCAGCCCCATCCCGTTCCATCAAACACATTGCAAAGCCTCCTTGGATGCCCTTGCCCAGCTCGTACACGGCGTGTCCTGGTGCTCCTGTGGAACTTGGCCTCACGTATGGCATATGCTCATCCTGGGACAGTGCCTAGGTTTTTAGGAGTGGGTCCGCGCTCACCCACTGGGATGTGTATCGTGAAATGGAATGAGTTCACAGTCTTCCTAGTCCTTGGACCCCCTCAGTAACATTTCTTCCTTCTTGCTGTAAAATCTTCTAATCTGAGAAAAGTTATACCCACAACTCAAACTGCAGGTTGCATTTAAAATCAAGCTATTGCCTGGCCGGTGTGGCTCAATGTATTGAGCGTCGTCCCATGGACTGAGAGGTCACTGGTTCTATTCCTGGTCAGGGCATGTGCCCAGGTTGCAGGCTCAATCCTCAGTGGGAAGCATGCAGGAGGCAACTGATTGATGTTTCTCTCTCACATCGATGTTTCCATCTCTCCCTTCCTCTCTCTCTAAAAAAATAAATAAAATAAAATCAAGCTGTTGCATCAACAGCTTGCTGCATAAAAACAGGAGTAAAGGAAGCTGCAGGCATCCCTGCCTTTGGGGAGTGTGGAGGCTTGTGGAACAAACTAACAAATACACACGTGACACCTCCCTCAGCTGCCGCCCAAGTTGCGCCGTGTGGGTGGACCAGCTGTTTCTCTGGGGTCCAGGAAGGCTTGGGGAGAAGGTGATTCTAGGAGGAAACCTAGTTGAGTGGGAAGGAATGGAAGAAGCTTCGTGAATCTCCTTGGCCAAGAGTAGGTGCCTGTGTGGGGTCTGAAGAGGGTGCATGGTGGGGGGCGGTGCGTGAGCAGTGGGGGGCCCTGAGGAGCCCTGGAGCTCCCACAGCAGCTGTGTCCCCAGAGGTTGAGCACATGCAATGGGAAAACCTTTACTGAGTGGTGTTTAGAATTGCCGAAGTGTTGAGTTTCGAGTTTTAAAAGATTCTTCTCTTTGCCATGTTAAGAGAAGCAAAAATGGACAATCAGACAATAGAGAACTATCAGGATGAGCGTGAGGGATACCCTGTCCCGCTTCAGTACACTGTCAAAGGAAACGCCGACGGGCCGTCCACGCTCCGCGGACAGGCGCTGTGTCCCAGGGGCAGCAGCCGAGCGTGAGTGCGCCTGGTGCACGGCTCAGCGTTCTTTAGGACTTCCCTGTGGTCGTGTCAGGAAACGCTGTAGATGGTACTGTACGTGCTGGGCACATGAGCAGTACACTTTCAGGTTGCCCGGAGACCAGTGCGGGGGAGGCCCACCCCGAAAGGGGCCTCCGTCCCGACTCAGGACGGGGAGCGGTGACGTGAAATGTGGGGCTGGGTTTTTCTTTTCCACGTTCTCCTTTCTGCGACCACAGTGATTAGGGCTGTTTTGAAATCGTTTCAGCTGCTATGAAAACAAAGCTGCCCCTGTCTGGAAGGGCCTTTAACTCTTAGAGACACGGCGACCCTGTGGGCCGCGGGGACAGCAGCAGGCAGAGGAGATTCTCCAGCAGACCACAAGCTATTTTTAGACACTTTCTCATTGCGTCCCCCTGCTCGGGCCGTTGTCATCTCGAGCATCCCTGTGGGCCACAGCAGCCCACCCGCGGCCCTCACAGCACCAGGGCCGGGCGAGGAGCTGCCGCAGGAAGGCAGAGGCTGGGAACAAAGGCTCTGCCACCGTCCTGGCCTCCCACCGCCGAGGAATGTCCCTCGGCCTCAGAAAGGCCTTCCCTGGAGGAGCTCAGTGATTCATGCCGAGGACGTCCGGGCAGCGAACGCAGGGCCTGACCCTGCTCCGGCAGGGAAGCCAGGGCCAGAAACGACGAGTCAGGGGCCTGAAAGCCCCTGCTACGCAGGGGTGTTTTGGTTTCAGGTCTGTCTTTTGTTCCGAGAATCTGTTCTCACGTGACAAGAGCATAGACAAACATAAAAACGAGTTCTTATGGGAATACTTGACGACAAGTCTGCTTCTGTCCGGGTTTGCTTCAGCGGCTTATTTTTTAAAAATGCGAATGACTCATCATCTTTAAAAGAGAGACGAAGTTGCTATTTAAAAAATAAAGATTGCTTTTCCACAGAAGGGCTGAGCAGAATGTCAGGTATCAGACGGTTCTGCGGCCGGGCCGGGCAGCGTCCAGGACGGCCCTGGGGCACGGTGCAGAGCACATACGTGTAAGAGGAAAATCCTACAGCAATTCTAAGTGACATAAGAATTCAACTTTGGCCTGACTTTCAAAGAGATTATCTTTGCCCAAATCATCACATGATGGAAACTTGCCATGTAAATATCAGTTACTAACTTTTCTAAACATAGCAACTTCTTTTTAAATAGAAAATGAACACAATAAGAAAAATAGGAAAAGAAACCCTCCCAGTCCAATCCCTTCCTGCTCCATGCCCCAGAAAAAATCCTCTCTTGAAACCTTAACTACAGTAAAAAACATGAGGTGCATAAGCTTTCATTTCAAATTGATGATTGCATTAAGATTTAATAGTTTACAATTAAGATGAATATTTCAAGATTATAGCAAAACCCACACTGTTCTCGATTTGCTCTTCTGTTCTGAGTCTGTAATTAATTTTTGTGGTCCACTGTGTTCAGACAGACCTTAATTGAAAGAGCAGGTTTGAACACACAGCCGTTTTGAACCTTCCCCTTGCTTGTCTTATCTGTCCCTCGTGACCGTCCTCCCCAAGACAAGCATGTGATCATCAAACAGAAGTTTAAAAGTTAAGAAACTCCTATTGCCGTTGACAAGGCTGACATTTCATTAACTTGTTGGTTCAGCCTTCAGATGCGCTCTCGAAGCAGAGCACCCTGTCTGGGCTTTTGTTCCCTCTTCCCTCACAAGCCTCAGTCATGTTTAATTTGGAATCCAGGCTCCTTTGGCAAATTAGCAATTAGAACAATTTTGTGGGAATATGTATATGTGTCATTAGTTTTCCTGCAAATTAATAGCAAGGGCAGAGGTCAGGCAGAAATTTTCCACTTGACTGCACTCTCTCTGTTGAGACTTGGCACTTGGTGTCGGAGTGGCCACAGCTGCTCCCTGCCGCCTCTTCCTCCAGGAACTCTCTTTTAATTAGTTTACCTCATAGCCATCATTACAAATATCACTGCCTCCCTCCTCGAAACAGAATTACTGTTTCTACAAAATATTCTGGTGGGCCCTGCACCACTGCACATCGATGGGGGGGTCCCTCGAATGCTGCATTTAATCATTAGATCACCTCCATCCGCGTCTCCTAATTAGAGTCCTCACAATACATTTTTATCTGGTAATTAGCTGAGATTGGCTGCTTCCTCTGTGGCTTGTTAGAGACAGCCCAGCAGTGGGTGTGGATCTCGGTGTCATTTGTCAAGCCGAGGGAGCCCTCTCGCTCTCTTCTGGCAGAGTATTTATTTCCACTTGCTACCGATGTTCAAAATCCCCCCGAAAAGTCTTGTGTTATTTTTTTCTTCATGGATTGTGTGAACCTGGAGGGATTTAATTTTTCACTGCTGTGTTTTGTTTTGTTTTGTTTCGGGGTTTGTATTTTTTTTGTAGAAACAGCCCAAATTGAGACCTTTGTAAAAGCTACAAGAGTCAGATTCCTTTTACGTCTCAGGTTATCATCCCTGCAACTTGACTGTCGCTCCAGTCCGAGTTCCAGACGGGCTGCCCTTCCTGAGTGTGGATGCGTTTGGGTTGGGGGCACTTAGACCAGAACCCAGTGGACGTGGTGATCTTTTCCACAAAACTGGAAAGGGGCATGCCCACTTTTTAAGGGACGTTGCATGTATATTTAAATGCTATTGTATTTCTAACAGAGTCAGTGTTGAGGGTGAGGTCTGTGAACCGCACGGAGAAGCCCAGGAGAGGAGCTGGCCCGCAGAGCGGCGTGGCGCACACGGCGCCGCCCTGGGTGGTGCCTGCCTCCTGGGCCACTGCTCTGTTCCTGCTTCTGTCTCTTCGTTCCAGATGCTCCTGTCTGCTCAGGAACGTTCATGGATCTCGTTAGAAGCAAGGATAAAAGCCATCCGCTTAGTCCTTAGTCTTTTCCAAGCTGAGTTTACAGAAAATGAAACTTGTTGGTGTTTCTTTTTCTCATTACTTCACAAGTGCGTGTTTGAACTGGCGTTGTGAATTTGGGCAAATGATTCGGTCTCTCATGAGCCTCAGTTTGCTTATCTGTAAAATGTGAATGCTGACATCTCAGGTATTGTTGATGGCCCAAGCATCCAGTGGACACAGCGCAGCAGCAGAGAGTCTGCCCTGGGGTTCTCATACGTGGCACCCACGACGTCACAGCATTGATGCTCTCAGGCATAGCAGCCTCTGAATTTTAAGAGCGATATATGAATCAGCTTTCGCCTTTCATGCATGATTTCCTGGACCCTCGGCCTGGGCCGGTGCTTATGCATGGTGTCTGCCTGTGGTCATAGTGAAGGTCGAGGCAGAGAGGGGTCAGCCCCCACCTCCCTCTTGCCCTCCATCCCACGGCTGCCCCCTGAGCTGCGAGCACTTAGTTTGCAAACGTGTGTCACGAAGTCAGGTGTCCAGCTCTTCTGTACATGTCCGCTCTTCCCCGTGTGGGAGGAGGTCTGTCGGCTGAGCCAGCACCCCAAGGAAAGGGGGATAAAAGAAAACACAGCGAAAGCTTGCAACCCCGCATTCAGTTTCAACACCGCGTTCACATTTTGCACTAACGTTTCCCCACTGTTGTATTTCTTTTCCTCAAATTCGTTGCCTTTTTACGGAATTGCCCTAAACACGTTAGACAGAGTTTTCGTGGCCTTTTTCATTACTAGAGTATGAGCAAGGTTGAGTTGTCTCAACACATTGAAACTCCTTCAGTAAGTTCTTTGATAATGATGTCAGAGGAATCTCATTTTGGATATCTTCCACAAATAATGCCTTGTACTAGGACTGTTGTAATGGTGAAACAGACTTATTTTGTGAAGTGACTCGAAATAATGGGTTGAGAACATGTTACAGAGGAAGCTACTCTGCTCAAGTTTCTTGGATTTGGACCAACTGTGTGTATCTGTGTAAACTGTAATAAGTACTATGCTGAAAACTATCGAGTTCTTCAGCTCAGCCAGACTCAGTGTTTCCATAACAACCAATTTTGGGGAAGGGGTGAGGGGCTAAGGCTGTTTGTCCAGTATTAGTAAGAGACATACTTCAAGGGGAAGGTTAGATTGATGGAGACAAAGAAAGAATCAAAACAGTACCATTGATTTTCCTCCGTGTTACTTCAAATAAGTAGTATTTATTTTCTTGCTTGGTATGATAGGTTGTCCCAGTCCTATATTAGTGAACATTAAAAACTTGAAGGGGAAAAGGTCAACGGAGATTTTACAGTTCTCTGCCTGTCCCGTGCCGTGGCGTAGGGAAGGAGTGGACTGCAGCCCTGGGTGATGGAGGGACGAGATCACACGCGCCCTCCAGGGCCGTCTCTGCTGGCGGACGAGGCTCGCCGTCAGCGCAGCTCCATGTGCTTGAGTCACAGGCCCCACGTCCTGGCGTAGCAGCCTGTCCCTGTGCCGTGCCGTGTGGCAGCCACTTGTCACACGTGGCTACTTACATTTAAATTCATTAAAATGGAGTAAAAGCTTTTTATCGAAGCTAAGTGGGAACAGTCCTCACTTGAGCTAGCAACTGCAGAAAGTCCTGGGAGCTCAGGTGGCCGCCAGCCGAGCCCAGCCAGCTCCGCAGCGCAGGTGTGTGCACGGGCGCACGCCTCATGTTTGGGGGGACTGGAAACATCTCCCTAGAGAAGTGAAACCACCGGCATCCCCTGCGTGCCTCCTGCTGCACTGCAGAGGCCCTCCTGGTCACACTGTTTTCCCGGGTCTTCTAAGAATTGTTCTTTTCCTCACAGCTGAATCTGGTGTCAAGCGTCACCCTCTCTAAATCTGCATCGGAGGCTTCTCCACAGAGCTTACCTCATACTCCCACCACCCCGACGGCCCCCATCACTCCCGCCACCCAAGGCCCCTCCGTCATCACCACCACCAGCATGCACACGGTGGGACCCATCCGCAGGCGGTACTCAGACAAATACAACGTGCCCATTTCTTCAGGTAGATACTCTGTTCTTGCTGGTGTAGACCAGCAATATGCAGTTCTTGTCGACTGGCCTCTTTTTTCAAAGTGGTAATTAACAGGACGATGATTCTTATTTAGCAGATATTGCGCAGAACCAAGAATTTTATAAGAACGCAGAAGTTAGACCACCATTTACATATGCATCTTTAATTAGGCAGGTAAGTAAATAACACAATATGTGAAGTCATAAAAAGGGGTGCGTGTACAGGGATATATTATATTGATGAAGTAGATTTAAAACCGTTTAGTATGCAGGCATGCTAAAACCTTGTCTATAAGGGTTTTTAAAACTGCAATATATAACATAATTGCTTTTGATTAAGTATTACAATACGATGTGATTATTAGGAAATTCATTTCACACAACAGTGAAAATGAGCCTGTTTAAAGATGGCAAGTCAATTATCACAAGCTGCAGTAATCTCTGATCCCTAGAATTAATCTGAGCTCTAAATAATTACTGAGCTTTAATCAGCTGGTGAAATGTTTTGCATTTCTCTCTGATTTTGCTTTATGAATGACTAATAAATTAATATTTCTGTACGGAAACAGAAATAAAAACTCAAAACAATTACATAATTTCATTTTGAATTTTGCTATTGAACTGTTAAATACAACCATTAATCTTAGATCATTTTGTGAAACCTTTCTTAGGATTTAACTCTGAATCATTGTTATTTTATATTTTCAAGAAATTGTATGATGACGACTCTGCTGATGTGGGCATAAATCACGTTTTCTGTTACTTTGCTTTGCAGGCCATTCTCGAGTCCCCAGAAAAGCAGCTGACACTGAATGAAATCTATAACTGGTTCACACGGATGTTTGCTTACTTCCGGCGCAATGCGGCCACGTGGAAGGTGAGCTCTTGCCAGGCCTGTTTGGTCTTGGGTCTTGATATTTATAGAAGAGTTTGTTGTTGAAAAATGCAGTTATTGTAATGTACATCTACATTGTTTTGATCTACTGAAAGAATCGAATTGATAGGAAGATCTGACTGAGAAGACAGCTCCACTGTGTGAACAGGGGACAGAAGTCTGTCGTCACGGTGTGCTGGCGTTCGGACAACCACAATCGGGGCAGCTCCTCTGCCACCCACATTTCGAGGTTGACCCATTACTTATACGAACCTCGTGCTTTTAGTCTTTAGCCACCACCAGTATTTGCAGAGATACAGGTAACTTCTTGATGCCCTTAGGAACCTGGAGAAGTGATCGAACTTGACACAACTTTCATTGGTTGGATAAAACCTCTTTAACCCGGTTAGCGGGGGAAGCTTCGCATCCAGGTGCGAGTACTGTATGTGGGAGCGATTCCAGGAGAACCCAGTATATTATTACATTTTTTGTTTCTTGAAGTTAAGAGAGTCAGAGATTCTCTGGAGAAACAGAGTAGCATCTGAATTATGTGACTTCACTGTAACCCCATTTGCTTTAAAACAGGTCAAACACCATAGGTCCATGTGGACACCCCCAAACAAAGCATGAGGTCATACGACGTACCTCGTTTTCAGTTCAGCAGTTGGTTCATAGCTTCCATCAGCATTTACTCAGTTGCAAACGCGAGATTAAGCCTTCACAGAATTTTAGACGTTCCCACTTTCAGTTTCTTGGTCTCTAACATCATTGCTATAGAAAAAGGCAGGTGCAACATGCTATTGGGAGGCAGGGGGTAGGTTTGTGGTGTTTTTTTTTTTTTACTACCTAGAAATTCTTATATTCCCTAAATTCCAAAACATTTAAATATATTTAAAACAAATATTTTAAGATATTTTTACATGTCAGTGTTTCAACTGTGATAGGGATTTATTATGGGGGACACGGAAAATTTGCTGTGCTTGAAATAAATGTCTTCCTTGCTACTTTCTTAATTTAATATGAGAGAAAACAAGCAAAAACAGAAGCCATATTTCCTCTGTTACATTCTTGACAAATTAGCATTATAAAAGAAAATGAATGTGACCGTAGCATTAACTCATCAGGTTGACAGAGCTGTGCCGGTTGTGCCCCATCGTCCTTGCTGTGTCCATGAGACACGTGGGCCTGAAGGGACCTTGCTCAGAACGCTGCCCTCTTCCTGCACCTGCACCTGCCCTGGACGCCAGTACCAAGGACACTCAGCTGGGAAAACTCTGAATTTAGGAAGTATAGCATGAAACAGACATATTCTTCAAATTACCTTTTTCTAAATAGCAAATAATCACATTTAAAAATAACGATCAGTTGTGATTATGGTATTTAAGCTCAGATCTTTAGATTTAATTTTTTCATTTTTGCAAACTGCAGGAAAAAGTGCCATTGATATAAATAATCCTAGATGAAGTACTTAATGACTCATCAATATGTATAAATTTTGCTACGTGTCCTTATTTGTATTATGGTCTTAGTCAAAAGATGAGGTACCCAGTTAAAGTGATGACTGAAAAGAGCTTACTCATCTTTTTGGGAAACTTGATTTCGTGTTGCTTTTGCTTAGATGTGCGACCTCTTTAAAAATGAAACTCCAGTGTTGACTCGACATCTGTGCTCACATGACGCTCGCGCGGGCAGATCTGAAACAGTCCTTTCTTCAGACGTGGCTTCCTTGGATCTGTTCAGTTCTGTGCATTTATTTTAAAACATCAGATGGTTGGATGAGGAGAAATGCTGATTTCTTTCCCACTTATATCTCCTGTAGGGGTCCATGTTCTGTTTTGTTTTTTAAGGAAATTATTTCAGCCTCCTCAGTGTTGGTAACAGTGGCACTTAGCATCCTTAGACTGTACCTGTGTGCCGTATAAAAATAGGCTTATTTAGAGACCAAGACTACCATTTAGATGCAAAAAAAAAAAAAAAAAAAGTGTCTTACTGAGTACAATGACAATATGCCAAAGGTTTTTTGGAGGGTTTGGTTTTGTTTTGAAGCGAGGCCACTAGGCCTGTTAGTGACTCGGGTGCATTTCACAGCCCTGAGCGCCTCGAACCTGCCCCAGTTATGCTGCTGCTGCTGCTCAGAAGCTCCTCGAGAATTTGTCCTGTGGGTTCTGTCTGTGAGCGGGTTCATCAGGCCGTGTAATAAAACATGTCTCATTATCTCCTAAATACTCTGTATCAGAAAATAAAAAAATTCATCATTATCTCATTTGACTCCTCAGAGTCACCAACGGTGATTATTCAGAGATTGGAACACCTCTCCGAGTGTTAAGATTTGTCATTCGGAGGACATTTTAGAGAGGGGATGTGGCAGGTGCTGGAAGGAGGGGTGCACCATGTCTGAGCAATGGCAGCATCACACGCATGGAGGGTCTGAGGTGTGGTGTGTGCATCTGCTTCTCATGCTCACCTGTCACCTGCATATTCCCTACTGAAGGACAGTTGTGAGTAAATGGCATGGTCTTTGTAATGTCCTCATGTGTGATTTTGCAACTGGATCAGTAAGTTCAAACAGAGGACTCAGGAGATGAAGCCATGCTTAGTACTGTACCCAGTGAGGGTTGTGGCTTTTCCTGAAATTCAAAGGAGAGATGAGACCTTAAAAACTCTTTACCCCTCAGTCGAGACCCTTCTTTCTAATAGATTACCATAGATGTCAAGGGTCTCCGCTTAGCAATGCACAGAAATTACTTTTTTTAACCATAAGAAAGAAACATGTGGCTGTAGAAACCATCAATGCAGAAATATCATCATTTTCCCATTCAGAATTGCACTCATATGTTCCTTTGGCATTTTCTTAGTTAATTAAGGTACTTGCCCATAGTAAGGGCCAATTTCTGTGTAGGTCCCGGAAGGTAGGACATACCTTGATGATGGATACTGATCCATCGACGGCCCTTTCCCCACTCCTGTCAGCTCCCGAGGTGAGACTCTCCGTGGTGAAATCCGATGTAGAATTCTTAATAAATCTGAGAAAACCTGCAGAAGTTAAAGCCAAAACTTTAACAAAAAAGAACAAAAAAAAATATGTTGAACAATAATAACGGAGTCTTCATCTTTCATAGTTTAAAAAATAGACACAAACTGCCCTTTTTCTGGGAGGTAAGTGAGTTTACAGGGACAGTTTGGTGCCATTCATTCCTCCTAATTTTGAAGTCACACTAACAATATTTCCAGATATTTACTGTGAATTCTATTTTGAGGTTCTATGCATATTAAAATTTTTTCTTCTGAATTGCTTTGACCAGATACTAGACTAAAATTCCAAAGTACAATTAATTCATGGTTTTGGTTTTTTATCTTTGCTTTTTGGAAAAGGCTCTCTTGACCACAAGAAGACTGTCTGAGGGGGTGGCGGCCATTGCTCTTGGGGTGGTGGTAACAATGGGGACGGTGAGGCTGAACTTAATGCTGTTGATGGAGTCCTTTCTCATAGAAATGTGAATGTTCTCTCTTTTATACCTGCTGCAGAATGCAGTGCGCCATAATCTTAGTCTTCACAAGTGTTTTGTGCGCGTAGAAAACGTTAAAGGGGCAGTGTGGACAGTGGATGAAGTAGAGTTCCAAAAACGAAGGCCACAAAAGATCAGTGGGTACGTCCACCGTGTTCGAACTTCTCGGCCCAGCTCGGATTGTGCTAACAAGCGTCACGTAGAGGCTCTGGCTTCTGATGGTGTCAGACCAAAGACTGGTCTCACGTTGTCTCAGCCAAGGAAGCAAAAAAGCATTTCATCCCTCCTGTCGTGTGCCCGCCAGCCCCGCCCTGCCTGCCGGTGTTTGTTGCGTCACACATGCTAGTAGCTTGTAGGTGGCATATTAACCCTCACAAACCATGCGCTTATGCTTATTGCATTTTATTTTCTTTCTCCTGTTCCCTGTATTGGATGTCTGTCCTGCCCCAACCCCGTCTGCTTTTGTTGCTCTCCATCTCCTTTGCCGCCGCTCCCACCCCAGGGTGCCATTCGCACCAACCTCTCACTGCATAAGTGCTTTGTCAGAGTAGAGGATGAGTGTGGGTCCTTTTGGACAGTTGATGATGAAGAGTTTAAACGTGGCCGCCGTATTCCCCGAGGCCGTCCTCGCAAATACTGCCCCGGTGAGGACTTTGACGAGCTTGGCGCACAGTAAGAGCCTTTAACTTGCTTTTGTTTTTTGTTTTTTCTGCGGTTGCTTTGCTCTGCATGGTTGGTCATCCCACTAGTCGTGCATTTCACCACGTAGCGGCCACGCTTGCTGCCACGGGACTGCCGTGTGGTCTGCACATGGACGTCTCGTTGCTCCTTGGAACACCCATGCCTGGAACAATGCTTTTTTGGTGTCTTTAATGCAAATGCGGGTTACCTTTGGATTCCGCAGCTTCCGGGGACCCTGTAACTAAATGCTTCTGTGGGACTCGGAATTCCTCCAAGTACAAAGGAAGCTTTCGTGTAGAGTCAAAATGCGTATTTTATGGGGGGAATTTCTTCTCATTTTTGCTTACTCAGTATGATTATAAAAATTTAGTAAAATGTTTGATTAAAATGCTCCAAACTTAGAAAGAAGTGGGCAACAGCCATACCCTTCGTTTAAGGTCCTGGTGGATGGAGGCGCCTCCTACTGGAAGGCACTCCCTTGCCGCGGCATCTCCTCGGTGACTGTTTCGTATTTTTACTCTTAAAAGGCTAGAGGTTTTCTGAAGACAGTGTCTTGTCTTCAGTACTGGACACTGCATCAGATATTCTTGTACCTTCCCAGTCATGGCTGTGCCAGGAAAACCTCAGCCGGCTCCTGCCTTAGCGGGTGCTCCCCTGGCATGTCCTTCTCTGCCTCGGAGCTCTGCCTTCAGAACCACCGTCCTTCCTGCAGCAGCACGGTGCAGTTCGGTCATGGGGTGCTGGGGAACCGAGACCCGCCAGCTCGCTCTCCGAGATGCCGCGGTGAGCTCACGGCCTCCACAGCCCAAGGCCGAAGCTGCTCAGCCATTAGAAATGGGCAGAGCGGTCAATATTTTGTGATACAAAAATTCATCAGTGGAGGGAGTGCCCATTACTGCAGCCAGAATTTTGCCCCCAGTTCCCTTGAATAGCAAAGTCTGCATCCCGGAGGAGTTCACACAGACTGCCCAGTAAGCCTGGGGATGCGCAGAAACCTCCCTTTTCTTGGTTTGGATAGTGGGGATGGTTCTGATTTGGAAGGGTGCCAGTGAGCTTACACAACACGTAGCCAGGAACCTGGGGGTCGGTCGCATGTAACGCTGAGTTGTCTCTCTCTCTCGCGCAGTAACCCTTCCCTCATCAAAAACATGCAGAGCGGCCACGCCTACTGCACCCCCCTCAACGCGGCGCTGCAGGTAAGACGGTGCGCGAGGGCCGGCCGAGGCCTGTCTCCCCCACGCATTTCAAAATATATTAGCCTCACTCTAATTAGATATTAAATTTTAATTCTGTTAAACTTTTTTCTTAAGTGCACAAAGCATCGTCCTCCCTGGAGGCAAACACATCGGCGGCTTCAGCATTAGCAGGATGCTTAGCATTTTGAATATTGTGGCAAAAAAATTAAAAGTTCACTTATTAATATTTATCAGCGGTATCATAATTTCCATCCTCTTATTTCAGAATTTCACTTGAGGCAAAAATACCACAAGTGTAATTACTGCAGCACAGCTATTAATGTGCTGGGTGATAGGCCAGCGCATCACGTGACCCCATTGTTCAGGCTTTAAAGGGACAGCGGAGCTTTTCATTTCTTCTTCTTTTAAAGACTGTTTCAGCATCTCTCCTTTTGTCTGGGGTGGGTGGGGTGTCTGGGTTTGGGTTGCTTTGCAACAGTGAATGGTTTTGTTTAAGTGATAGAGGTGTGTGGGAAACCGGGCAGACGGCGCGGAGTCCGCAGGGACGCGGCTGCTCCCACAGGCAGGTCAGGCGCAGGGCACTAACCTAGCAGGAGGGTCACCACCCAAACGGGAGTCACCAGGGCAGCGCCAGCATCTCGTGGGCCTGTTCTCTCCTGTGCTCCTCGGTCACCAAGGAGCAGTCATCTGCCAACCAGTCCACCGGAAGCCTGCCGGCCGCCTCAGTCCAATACCTGCGTAGGGTTCAAGCTTCTTCAGCAGTTCACAGGCAGGCTGTCCTTGTGGCCAGTGGTCCCACTAGATTGTTCTAGAACACAGGCCCAGGGAACCTTGATAACTTTTAGATGTCGTATTCTGCAGATAGAGCTGACATATAGAACATAACACCATGGCAGACCTTCCCAGCTTGCATCTTTGACGGGGGCTGTATCGCCCTAAAATTGGCACTTAGTTGTCACAGTGCTTTGTGCCTCTAATGTCCACTGTGCGTAGACAGACACGTGTGCTTCATGCGGGGACGGCGCGGATAGAGAAGCAAAAGGCTGAGCAAGGCTCCTTACAGGATGACAATGAAAGAATGGTTGAGAACTTGGCATTGTGGGAATGGGGTGGTTAGAGAGGAGGTGCTGGTGGAGCCCTGCTTCCCTACCCATTAAACCAATATTAATTGAGCACCTACTCTGCCTCCTACGGAACCATTTTTCCAGGTCACCCAGCAGAGGCTTCAGGCTCCCAAGAACATGCCTTCTCCACCGTTTCAGTACAGAGGCAAATTCACTGAACTTAGCTTTTCAGTAATTAAATTTATTTATTCTTAGCCGGAACCAAATTTACTAGGAGGAACTACTCTCTGCATTTTTTTTTTTTTTAATTACTTATAGTTTACACAGTAACTTTAGAAAAGCAAATGAAAGCACACTTAGATGCCGGCTCTGTAAATACCATTCATTAGTGACTTATTTTCCCTGGAGTCTTGTGAAGTGTGAATTTAAAGGCTGCTCTGCTCTGGAATGGCATTAAGATTACAAGCACATTGTACATTCATGAGGCGGAGAGAAGAAAGGCAGTGATCCTCCATCCGCTGGATTCCCTCACTATGTAACTAATTTCAATTAGAATGCTCTGTCATTACAGACTGTCCTCGTCTCATCCTAGACACTTGTCTTTGCATCCTCTGCACCCTCCCTTGGTTTCAGTGATAGCCCAAAATCTGCTGCCGTTTTCCAAGAACACTTTATGTCCATAATGAAGTAAGGTAAATCTGTCGATACAATTTCATGTTGAGGAGTGATCCTTCCCCTCTCTTCTCCTGGTTTGGATCCATGGTCAGTAGACAGTCTCAGAAGAAAACTTTCTGCTGTGCAAATTAAATAAAGATTCTACCAGCAGGCCTTCCTTCCATTATTGGCCATTTCCATTTTTCAAGACAAGGAAAAATAATAGTGGAATGACGTCTTAAAAAGGTTACTACTGTAACATAATGCATGATGTACAATATATAAAATGGACGGCAGAATCCACTAAGAAATAAAACACTGGACTAGGACAGAGTGCATTATGCTTTGAAAAAGTGAAGTGACTAAGGGTGACCATAAGCTCCATATGTACAGACTGTTCACGCAGGGATCTCAGGAGTGCATCTCCGGGAGCGCTGGGCCTCAGCTCTGTGACCTCAGCCTCCCCGTGGTCTGGGCAGAGGGGCTGGTTTGGTATGAAGCCACATTCTGTGCGCAGGCCCATTTATAGGTTTAGTTCGTTATAAGAATTGTAACCCAGCTGTTCCTTAGGTGACATCAACTACAAAAGGAACCACTTGCTTAAGCATAAGCAGTAGGTGAACATTTTTCTAGCCTTGGATGAGTTGCTTTGATCACTCACTCAACAAAGAATGTTCAGGCAATTCTTTGTACCGGATGCCAGGCTCCCTTTGCAGCTGACTGGTCACTTTGTAAGGGACAGGCTGGTTTCTTCACTTGCATCCTCCTTTGAGGTCCACCTCGTCGATATGAGTGCTGGCGTCTGGGGTGCTTTTCACCATTGTGGCTGTTGAGCATCTGCCCACATTCTGTGACCCAGTCCCAGTCGGAAATGGTGCTGACCTGGAACACTCTAGATTTAAGGAGAACACATCATCCAAGAAGGTTGCCCTGTCCATTGAGTGACCAACTCATCCCAAAGAGCACATTCTCATAAACATTCCAGTTTTATTTTTACTTTTCAATTTTTGACTTGAGGAGTTGCTAAAATACCAAATTAGAGATGGCCCCACTTTTACCACTTTCCAGCTCTGCAATAGCGAAACGATCTAGTGAGAACTGGCCATGTGCTGTTTTCAGGTGAAAGAGACTCTGTGATGGTCCCTGGAGCTTTCATGACCAGGAGAGGACCTCAGTGTTGCCTCAGACGATGGCATTTATGATGCTCACCTGGCTGTGGGTTGCACACGCAAGCACACACCTGGCAAATAATCCTGCCTATTACTGTGCCAAAATTTAAAAATGCATTGTTGCATTTACAAGAGATTTGTTGAAAAAGTTTTTGATGCAAATTTGACAAACTGTAGGAGAGTGAGGAAGGTTCAGATATGCTGTTCATCAAAATTTCACCACGTTTGAATATAAAAACCCCACTTGTTAAAAGAAGGTAGTTTTTGAGTTTTAAGTGAAGGGAAGGTGATGCTGTGGCTCGCAGGGCCCAGATTTGAAGCAGTCCATCGGCCAGTGCTGGGTGAGATGCGTGTGGTTCTGCAAGGCCTTTCTGGCTTTGGAGTTTACGCAATGAGTGGGACTGTGGTCATAGCAGGCAGGCCTCTGGCAGCGGGTGTGCACCTGTTCTTTCTTCGTTCGGGCCCTACCTTCTCTCTGGAACAGGATTTCTAGAATAGCGTGGATTCTGCAGAACTGGCCAGATGGCCTCATGGTACTTGCTCCACATTGGAATGGAAAACCAGGCACAGGGCTGCCTATGAGAGGTCAGTTTTGATAAATCTTGGTCTAAATGCCATTGCCAGTTTTTGAAAGTCTGCCCTCTTTAATAAAATGAAAAGTCACTGGGTCATAATTAGTACCCAGATGAACCAATATGGAGACTTCAGTGCAGTGATAGATTTGGCTATTTTCTGCATTTCAGCCGGGAAGGGGGGGAGGTGTCATGTTATTCAAATGCAGTAAGATAATGAACAGTATTCTCCTCTAGAGTTCACGATTTTTCTTCCTTTCATTTTCACACTTTTTTGCTGAAATACGATTTGGACCTTCCTTTTGGCAGAGAGTATTTATTTACTTATTTATTTTTAGTCCTAAAATTCTAGGTGACTGATCTGGTCTGAGTCTGAAAGGTTTCGTGGTATGACCTTCAGCCAGTTATCTCAGATGACACTAAACAGATTCAGAAATCAGTAAAATGGAAATGATGGGGGGAGATAAAAATTGATTCCAACTCTATAATCTCCTCCTCTTCTATAGGATCTATGAAGTAAATGTTTATGGAAGTTCTCATAAGTTTGAGCTGTGCAGCCAGAATAATGTGATCAGCTCTCTAATATCCAATACTAGAGTCATCAAAGTGGATAAAGAAATGAAAATCCCATTACATTTCCCTGTGATCTGGAAATATTCAGTTGCTCTTGAGAAAGGCCTCAGACGTCAGCCTCATATTAGATGGCCTTGTCTGAACCACGTGATCCTCCCCACGGGCGCTTGGAGCCCTGGCCAGCTCTCTGGAGCCAAGCCTAGGACCTGTGTCACAAGTCTTACTTCACAAGACCCTTCTCACTCTGCTAGAAACTTGAATTTGCCAACCACACTATAATGACTTAAGCTGAAGATGGTGGCTGCACCCATAATGAGCAGCTTCCCTGTCTGTGCCTACCTCACATCTTCACACGTTCTCTTGGTTGATGGCAGGCTTCGATGGCCGAGAGCAGCATACCTCTGTACACTACCGCCTCCATGGGGACCCCCACGCTGGGCAGCCTGGCCAGCGCCATGCGGGAGGAGCTGAACGGGGCCGTGGAGCACACCAACAGCACCGAGAGCGACAGCAGCCCCGGCAGGTCCCCCGTGCAGGCCGTGTGAGTACCGTCCACCCCCAGACCTCCGCGGTCACTCCGGTCTCGTGTTTTATGTGCAGCCAGCCTTTCCGGGGCCAGTCTTGACACCCGTGCTGTCGTTTCTGACGTCCCGGAACCCAGTGCCTCTGGAAACGTTAGCGGGGTGAGCACCGTCCCCAGCTGCCCGTGGAAGCGGCCGGCGCCCTCCGCCCGGCGCCTGCGCACAGCAGTGAAAGGGGTGTCACGCTCGCTGTCCTGCCCAGTCTGGCACTGCAGGCCATTGTTTGAGCCACCTCACCTTGTCCTCGAAAGAGTGTGCGTCGCGTGAAAGGCTGTGGTTTGCCCAGCTCCTGGGCTGCCGCCCGACGGGGAGGAGGCGCTGGTCGCCCTGCCTGTGCGCCGAGCCCCAGGAACCCTGCCCGCTGCCGCGCGTGGGGCACAGGTGAACGGCAGCGTGATTGGTGCGCTGCCCTTACAGTATCAAAAGGAAAACTGATGGAAGCAGTCTAGCCGCAGAGGGCAGCGTGGTCCATGCTGAGTGGGCATGGCCCCGGGACCAGGAAAAGCCCAGGAAGGGCTGCGGTCCTGTGGGTGTGCAGGTCCTGAGGGGCAGGTGGGGCTCTGACAGTCCCTGGCTCCCAGGAAAGGGTCAGAAGAGAGCAGAAACCATGCCTCCCAAATGACCGGACCTGTGAGGCTGCCACAGAGTGAGTCTAGTCTCCCTTTTAGCAAGTGTCTGCGAAACTGTGGCCCCTGTGTTCGCACCCTCGGCTCTTAGAACAAGCTGCTTGTCTACACAGACTTTCTGAATTACTGACCAGCATCTTATTTTCAGATTATTTGAGCAATAGGAATGGAAAATATGACCTGTAGCAATTAGGAACAGAATGAATTGGCATCTAATGACAAAGAAAAAATGCTGTCTGCCAGGGTAATTTGTGGGTTAGGGGGAATCTGAAATGTGATTATGTAGCATTTGAATTTATGCCCACAGTGATTTGAAAAGGATTTTTAAAGATGGAAATGATTTTTAGTTTATATGAATAGTCTCTCAGCATTTACTCCGTGCTGTTCTGATAGTCCCAAAGATCGTGCTTTCTGAAGCAGCCTGGTGTTTCTGACCGTTACCGGACTCGCTTCCCTCTTCAGGGAAGTCACTGCCGTGGCAGCAGTGTTTACTCGCGTTAGGAAGTTCAGCACAAATGTAAATTGCTATATAAGCTACTTCAAGAAATACTCATTAGAGCAAAAATATCTGAAGTTATTGAATGGAAGAGATAATATTTCTCATTATCCTTATGCTGATGTATATTCCTATTTAGTATAAAGGATCACTTAAACAAGAAAGAAAAAAGTATTTGGTAAAAACCTCAGGCAGCATTTTAGGGTGATGTTAATTTTGCTGTGCAAGATAAAGTTGCTATAAAGTTAATTTGTTTAACAACTTTGAATTAACGCCAGTATGACCAGAAACCATGCTTTATAGCAGTCAGCATAATTTTAATGAAATGAAGGTTTCATCTGCTTTTTAAAAAAGAAAAGGAAAGAAACCCTATATAAAGACATTAAATGCATATGATATTTGCTCAAATCTCACAGGTTCACACTGTTTGCTAAACATAATCGTATGTCAGCAGCATCTTTCCTGGGCCTGCTATCGGAGTCACAGACTGTTACTCTTTTTGACCCCGTATTTCCATTAAGTGGATTCTATTATGACATAGTTTCCATTCTTGTCCAATATGCATTACCCTGCTATGATGCAAATTGTTTCTTAACTGTTCGAGTCTATTGAAATAAATCACGCTGTAAACTTTACAGCGGGGCTTAAAGAACCTTGTTAGTACTGTAGCCCCGCTAATGTCTGGTGTTGAAACAGAACGCTTCGTTCTTACTGTTTCTGTGACACTCAGATACCATTACACTGTTTCTCTTTTGAAACCCTAGAAAGTAGTCACATAATTGTGGCTTTGGGGCATTATACTTTTATCCTGATAGGAGCTAAAGGAGCTACAAAGCAAAATACTCCAAGCTGTGCACACCCTTGGAACACAATGCAGCTTTAGTTAAAAACTCTTGTGTTCCCAGAGTGGCTAAACACAGGAATTACTCGGATGTAAGAAGGAAATGTGTGGTTTTACAGTTACTCACTGGTAGCCCTTTGGGAAATAGGAGTTGGACAGAAAGAGGAGTGTGTGAGGGGGTGTTGATCTGCAAGAGGAGAGGCACGCCCTGCAGCTTGTTTCTAGGGCACACGTGGGTGCATGAGGCACGCATCTTACCTGAGGTATATCCTGTGCGAAGCCCGTTCCCTCCCGCTGTCTGAGCACTGGGTGCCCGTGCCCTGCACCTGCTGTGCTCGGGTGTCTGCTGGTGTTAAATAGCAGGAAGCCGGAGTTATCTGGCTGTGTGGTCAGGCCGTCACACAGCGTCTCATCAGTTCCCATTTGTTGGGGACCCAGCTGCATTTGGCACTGGGATTGAGCCACTAGGCATGACAGGGTCATGTTTCTTCGGGATGGTAATAATCTTAGTGAGGTTTGGTTGTAAATTTGGGGGTGGGGGGGGAGTACTCCCTAATGTGAACTGTGTTGGCAAGCTTATGGGTATCTGATTTTTATTTAATTTTTGCCAAGCAAAATATTTGTCAAAGTCTAAAACTCTAAAGCGAGGACTTGATGCCTGACTGTTCCATTTCTTCTAGGCCCCCCCACCCCTCAGCTTTGTATCAGCGCAGTGTCATCAAATTCAGATACCTAAGCCTGAAAAGATTAACAAATCTGAGTCTAAAAAAAATGAAACTAGGAAAATGTTGACCGAGGAAATTACATTTGAACTTTAGTATATAGCAAAGTAAAACACAGACACATCTCTGTCCAGTTAGTCACAAACACCTGATTGGCGGCAAAGGCAGCAGTTTATGAATCCACCTTCCCAATAGTAATGACATGAAACAAACATGAAGTAATGTACACTGTTGTCAGTAACCCAAGAAACACAATTTAAGGTAACCGGAGCTTACCTGATACCTGCTAAGCAAGAAAACATTTTTTAAAAGTAGTGCTTGGTGCTGATGGGTTTGAGTTAAATTGATAATAGCCTCTTTGGAAATGAATACCACAATCAGTCATGAGAATCATAAAGATGTTTTGGCCTTTGCTCTAACAATTTCAATCTTAGAAATTTATTCTAAAGAGGTAAATCAACAGAAGTAGAGAGATTAATGGATAAAAGGCATCACTGTGTTACACAAAGAGCAGACTCCCAGTGTTAAGGTGCTAAGGTGTCAACATGTTTATGGTATCTCACATGGCCATAAAAATTATAATAATAAAAACAAAACAAACAATTGTATTCCTGCTGTTTACAGGCCATGAAAGTATGACCCCACATGCACAGGAGAGGCAAAAACAAAACACCTCTCCCAGTTAGGGTTTGTGGGTGATGTTTTATTAAGGAATAATAATCAGTACATCTAATTCTTCCCAAAAGATTGCAGGGGATCCTCCAGGGCTGACTTCGCAGGAATATAGATGCGGTTGTACAGGATGCCATGCTTGGAACGGTTTCCACCTTGAAATTCTTACTAAATTCTGAGCGACATTTCCACTTTACATGGGGCTCTGCAATTATGCAGCTAGTCCTGGGTCTCACTGTAGAAACACAGATAAATAGGACCATCAGAAACCTAAAAGTAGCCTGGCTGGTGTGGCTTAGTGGATGGAGCATCATCCCATGCACCAAAAGATCACTGGTTCCATTCCCAGTCCAGGCACGTGCCTTGGCTTCCGGCTCGATCTCTGGTAGGGGACTAGTAGGGAATATGCAGGAGGCAGCCCACTGATGTTTCTCTCTCATCGGTGCTTCTCTCTCTCTTTCCCTCTCTGTTCCCCTCTCTCTAAAATCAATAAAAACATATATTTAAAAAAAAAAAAACTAAAAGTAAATGGACCACTAGTGAAGTGTGCTATTATACAACTTGGGGATATTTTATTTTGCAAGTAACTTTTAAGAATATTGGCACAGTTTTAAGAAAGCTCTTTATCCTGACATCTGCCTGGGCTGTGCTAATTTCGGAGTCAGTTGGTTTTCAGAAGGTTCGTGTGGTCCAGGGCAATCCACGGCACTCCTGTTGTGTCATCAGTTACTTAGGAAGCCAGCCGTCGCCAGTAACAACTCTTATTACTAATACTTGATAATGTCAATTAGAACCTCCTCCCTACGCAGCCTGTCCCAGCCAGTGGCCGTTTTAACTTGAATAGTTCTTTGACATATCAAAGCCCCGTAACAGAAAGTAATTTGTATTTGCAAAGGCTGGGTTGTAAATATGATTTACGAACAACATTTCTCAATTTTTATCTGAGTGGTGTCCTGTGATCCCTCTGGGCCCCTTCAGCTGAACCTTGCTTGGTCCATAATGAGGCGGTTGGTGGGTTTCCTCAGGGGCCCCTGTCCCCGGGGCTGCTACCAGCCGGCCTCGTGTTCGCCTTGTTTACGGTGACAGCGTTATTATTCTGATTGGGGCTCTGCTTTCTTATCACATTGTTGTGTTGAGGGAGCCTTTTCCTCTTCGTTTGTGTTCCCTGGCAGGGCTTTTCTTGCCTTATTGACAGCTTGTAGCAATAGGCATTAATTTGGAGGTTCAAGCATGTATCATGGCGTCTCTGCACTGTGTTTGCTTGAAGTTGATTAATGATAGACCCTTGCTTGGGGTCGGTCTCGGGAGAGTTCTCGCACAGGTTCCGCATGTTAACTAGCAAAGCAGAACACACAGTGATTGCCCAGCGCGCTGCACGCGCCCCAGCCACCCTCTGCCCGTCTCAGTTCCCACAGTGGCCTGAGGGCCTGCCCTCATCCACCAGGACATCCCCGCGGCGCCTGTTTTCCAGTACTCGGAGTGGTCCCCAGACCAGCTGTCCCCTGGGAGTGCGAGGACGTGCAGAGCTCAGGCACCCCAGACCTGCTGTGCAGAGCTCAGGCACCCCAGACCTGCTGTGCAGCGCTCAGGCACCCCAGACCAGCAGAGTCCCCTGGGAGTGCGAGGACGTGCAGAGCTCAGGCACCCCAGACCTGCTGTGCAGCGCTCAGGCACCCCAGACCAGCAGAGTCCCCTGGGAGTGCGAGGACGTGCAGAGCTCAGGCACCCCAGACCTGCTGTGCAGCGCTCAGGCATCCCCAGACCAGCAGAGTCCCCTGGGAGTGCGAGGACATGCAGAGCTCAGGCACCCCAGACCTGCTGTGCAGAGCTCAGGCACCCCCAGACCAGCAGAGTCCCCTGGGAGTGCGAGGACGTGCAGAGCTCAGGCACCCCAGACCTGCTGTGCAGAGCTCAGGCACCCCCAGACCAGCAGAGTCCCCTGGGAGTGCGAGGACGTGCAGAGCTCAGGCACCCCAGACCTGCTGTGCAGAGCTCAGGCACCCCCAGACCAGCAGAGTCCCCTGGGAGTGCGAGGACGTGCAGAGCTCAGGCACCCCAGACCTGCTGTGCAGAGCTCAGGCACCCCAGACCTGCTGGGTCGCATTCTGCATTTTATGAGAACCTCAGGTGATGGGCGTGCACACAGACAGGTGAGAACGCTCGCCCCTGAGGAGGAGCGCTGCTCTGTCCAGGGTCTTCGCTGATAGGGTGTCTGCCCTGAGCTGGCCAGTACGGTGGCCTTGGCCACAGGTGGCCCCTGAGCATTTGAAATGTGGCCAGTGCGACTGCGGGCCTGAACTTTAAACAATGTATTGCATTGTCATTTAGATGGCCACACAGGCTAGTGGCCATGGTGTCACAGTGCTTTCCTGGAGGCTGCTCTCTGTGCCCAGAACAGCTGTTCTGGGGCCGGGAGGTCCTCTCACCAGCCTTCTCTTGTGTTTCCAGGCACCCCGTGCATGTCAAAGAGGAGCCCCTCGACCCCGAGGAAGCCGAAGGGCCGCTATCCTTAGTGACAACAGCCAACCACAGTCCAGATTTTGACCACGACAGAGATTATGAAGATGAACCAGTAAATGAGGACATGGAATGAACGTGTGCACAGGCCGACCCCAAGAATGAAGATTGAAAAAAAAAAACAAAACATGTCAAAAGTTAGCAGTGAAATTGTTCTCCATTTGTTGTACAGTCTGGAGGAGTTTCACTACATTTTGACAACTCTGAAATGTGTTAACTCTTAGTGCCATCAAGAATCCCATTTGGGAGTATTTTTGATTTTTCTACTTTTTGTTGAAAAAAGGAATTTGTACTCTGTGCATTGGATGGACTTGTTTGGTACTTGGAATTTTCCTCTCTTAACAGTCAACATCTGTTGTAAATTTGCTAAACTGATTCACTTTTAGCAGCAGACTTTGAACTGCAGTCCTGCCGACGTTGGACCCCGAGGACACCCGACTGAGCATGTGCACCTACGCTGCAGACCAAGCCTCTGCCCAGACTGGGGGTCCAGCGGACGGCCTGTTTGCACAGTACTGCATGTCGATTATCACTGCCTTTGCTCCATCTTTTTTTTTTTTTTTTTTTTTTTTTGCTTCCAGTTGGGATGGGGAAGGCCTTTGTGTGTGTATTGGGGGGAGGGGTTAAAAATAATTATCCCAGACTTTTTAATGTATTGCTTTTTTTTTTTCTTGCTTCTACTATACATTTTAAGTTCTGACCTCAGGCCTCCACTTGGGCCCATGGCCTCTTGGAGGCTTAAAGTTTTCTGTACCTTGTGATGAATGTTAATAGGTGTTTTTATTATACAAAGCTGAATGTCACTTCTTGTTTGTAGTTTTCTGTCACTCATTCCATTTTTCTTCAGACATCACCATGTTTTCTTGAAAGTCAGAAAACATTCCGTTTTGGTCTTTTTCAAAAAGGTCCCAAATGCTGCACTCTACACATGAAGGTCCTCTCACCCAGAGTGGAGATCTGCCGGAAAGAGAATGAATGACAGAAAAAAGTAGTCACCCTAGGAGCAGTGCAGATTCATCCCACGAAGCAGTATTGGAGGTGTGAAGGGGTTGTTTCAGATTTTCCTCTTTTCTTGTAGCTACCATCATTCTTAATAAATGCCTCAGAGTGTTACCAGCACACGGAAATGTGGGCGGCACCCCCCAAAATGTCTCATAATCGTTAGACAGTCTAGCTGTTGAAGGCTCCCCTTTGGGGGGCCACTGGGATGAGCCGTGTTAAACCGGGGGGCTGCTTTGCTTGCGAAGTGGCCGGGAAGCTGGCTCCCCTGAGTGAAGGAGGTGGTGGTGCTGCGTTCAAACCTCAGTGCAGACCCGCTTGGTGGCATCAATCTGTTTGAATGCAAATTAGATTTCAGATGGAACTTGTTATGGGAGGTAATGAAGACTGAGTTCAGCAAACACTAAGGTGTTCGTTTCAAATGTGCAAATTGGCTGCTGCGGTTCAGGTTGTCATGCCGTCTGGTCACAGCAGCCTAGGGTCAGCGCCAACATGGAGCACGTCGCACGGTGGGGCAGCTTCAGCCAGGGTGTGGTCACTGCCACTCGTCCGCGGGAACCTGGCCACTTCCCTCTGCAGACCCTCTCCTGTCTCACCTGTTCATCGAGGACCGTAGCTCTTGTTTTAGTTTGAGAGCCCTTTGGAGCTTAATTTATATTCTTTGTACCTTTTTTTCTAAAATTACCAAAGATATTACACAAAGGTAAATTATGTTCTCTGTTTTATGCTTTATCTGATGAAGCCAAATATCCTCTTATTGTTGATCAAAGGAGGCGAAGGGATTTAGAGGCAACCGATGAGATGTAGGCCATTGCTCACCTGAGGACGAGAACGCGCCTTCAGACACGCAGACCAAGCAGGCGGTGGAACCAAAGTTGTTGCTTTTCTTAGTTGTTGGTTTCTTCTCTTCTGTGTCTCTACAGAGACCAACACTCATTCTTATAAAGAGATACTGTGGGGCTGCTGAAGGCAAAAATAGGACACAGTATTAAGGGAGCAAACAAAAGAAGGGAGCCCCGTCTTAAGGAAAAGCAGCTGTGCCTGGAAACTTAGGGGTATCCAACGAGGTAACATTCAGAGAATAGAAAGCTTCCCCGTGGAAGTAGACCACGTAAGACTCCTTCTAGAAAACAGTTTTTGAGAAGAAAGATTGTGTGCCACTTTTATTTAAGGGCTGTGCTGCGCTTGCCACGTTCATTTGGGTTCATCTTGGCATGTGTCCTCGGTTTTACTTTGTTCTAAAATTTCTTCTTTTTTCTCTGATTAGGCTTTGGTTAGCATTTCTCTTTTTTTTAAAAAAAAAAAAAAAAGTAACACTCCTGTCCACTCGTAAGCTTGGTACAAAAACTTCTTTGGCAGTTGACTTTGAAGCTTCTCTCGGCTTTCTGTGTTCGGCCGTCTGTGGTCGCTCGGCTGTGGAACCCCAGCAGCCCCGAGGTGTGCAGGCCTAGCCAGGCAGGGTCAGGGAAGGGCCCTGTGCTTCTAAACTGAGTGGTTGCTGGTTAGTTTGGTATTCAAAAGAGGATAAAAATCTGGTAGATTAGTTCATTCTCAGCATGTGTAGCTAGACATGAGTAAAGATAACAGCATGAGAAACTGTTAGTACGCATACCTCAGTTCAAACCTTTAGGGAATGATTAAAAATTTAAAAAAAAAACATTTCACTCAGTTGCACTTAGTCGTATGTCTTGCATGCTTAGTCTAAAGACTGTAGCAAAAGGAAAAAAAGAAAAATTAGATTCTACATATCTTTGCAGGTATCGCAGCCTTGCGGAAGAACCAACTGAAAAATTCTCAGGCTTACAGCAAGCAAACTTCACTATGATTTTTACAGTCCTGATTCTGTATCCCTTGGGGCTATCCCAGTCACTTCTTTAGGGTGGGCTTTATTATGTTGTACATATATCCCGATGTGTCTGTGTGATCCTTGTCATTTTTGGGGGAGGGAGGAGGGCAGTTCTTTTTTTAGATATTGTTCCTAAAAAGGAATAAATGCATACACCTGTTTGTCAAACACCTTTGCTTTTTGTGCAACTGCTTTATATTAATGATACTTTAAAAAAAATAGCTTTGGGAAAAAAAAACTACTGTATGTAATGGAATTGCAGAATATGCTGCACATGTATTTTATTTAGTTATCCTTGCTTTCAGAATATTGGATGACATTTCCTGACATGTGGGAGAGAGAAATTCCCTAACTTTTTTTTTTTTTTTTTTTTTTTTTTGCTTTTAAATTGTAACATAGTTAACAGACTTTTTTTCCTCTTCTCATTGATTGGAACATTTTGTACAGGTTTTTTGTGTGTGTGCGTGCGCATGTGTGTTAATCTGTTTTTTTGATACATTCCTATCCATTGTGTTTATTCTACCACTGCCTTCCTGGCTATCTTAAACAAGTTCATTCATACATTTGAAAAGAGAAAAACTGTTTTAAAAATGTTTTCTCCTGCTGCAGTAAATATTTTGCATGATGAAATTGCAGGGTCACACTTTCAAAGTTTATCAGTGAAGTAGTGATTAATGATGGGGAGTGTCAAAGATATTGAACTTTTTGTATTAAAAAAAAGAAAACTTTACAAAGTGCCAAGATGTAAACACAATTTGTTACCTTTTTTTTCTCCTCCAAAGAAAAGCATACATTAGGGAGATAGTCCCTGTATCAGGCAAACGCACTGTCAGGAGTGAAGCTCCATCCCACTGGCCCCTAGAGTCTGTCCGGGGAGGAACGCTGCCCGATTGGACCAGCAGTGCAGTGAAGTACCCAGGCTTGTGTCCGAGACGGTGACCGCGGCCTGCACCTTCGGCAGCTCTGATACTGTCCCCAGCGCTCCAGCAGACCTGGCAACAGACACCTTGGATTCTTAACCCAAAACATGATATAAATTACTAGCTATTTTATTGTGAGAAAAAAGTTGCATATTTCCTCTCCTTTCCACATTCCAGCCAAGCTCCATTTCCAAGGGTATAAAGAAGAACATGCTTTTAAGGATTTTGCATATTTTTGGTACCTTTTGGTTAATGGTATACCCTGTTGATACTCTGGATGTTTTTGAGAGTTGGTTTCGCTTTTTTATCCTGAGAATGAGACTTGTAATTCGAGAGGCGTTTCGTGGACCAAGCAGTCCCGACGGTCTCGCCACCCGATGCCTTGGCGGAGAGGGCCCAGTGCGGCGAGCTCTCGGTGCTTCGTGGATGAGTGCTGCCCGCGACAGAAGCTTCCGGTTTTGTTTTGATAAGGCATCAAAGAAACTCATTCCTGACATCAACTGTAATTCCATCATTCCGTGTCTGTGGATACAGACAATAAAAAAATATTGTGTAGTCAGTACTAATTACTGACATTATAGCATTCTCAAATGCAATAAAAATGCTGGTTGTTCACACTGGTAGTGAAAGTCGCCACAGCCTAAGTTTCTTTCGCCTCTGACCCGCTGATGTGTGTCAGGCCTGTGCCTGGGGTTCATCACCAGCTGCTTCCAACACTGAATGAAAATCAGTCTTCACTAACAGCTTTCAACACCGAGGCTGAAGGTCTTGTCCTCGGCGTTGCAAAGTGAAAGTCTTCCCTTAGAGAACCGGGAGATCAAAAAAGAGAAGGCTACCTTTTCTCATGAGGAAGCACCCCCATATTTTTCTTTATCAAATTTTAGAGAGAAAAACAAAATGTTTAATAACTAGCATTAAGAGCAAACTGAAATTTCATTGGAAAGCAATATCATGAATAATTCATTAGAATTTCACATCTGCAAGATTAGTCATCCAAATAAAATGCTAATGTCAAAAACATGCACCGTCTATAACATTCTCATCAAGAAATCTTTTTGCATATAATGATAAATGCTTAGATTAGAACAAATGATTTTATAAAAATATGCTATCAAAAATATGCTAGATAAGTCTCAGTGAACAAAACAGTGGAGTGCCAGTATCTAAATATTTCAGAAAAACCATCTTGATCTTGAGATTTTATAAACATGCCTATCTCAAAGTTTCTTTTTAATGTTACTCTGTTGTGTACATGAAGGATTAATGAATTCGGGCATCATCTTTCAATAAAAATGAAATTGGCCTATTGCAGTGATTTTCAACCTTTTTCATCTTGTGGCACACACAGACTAATTACTACAATTCTGTGGCAAACCAAAAGATGTATTATTTGACAAACCAACAACAACAAAAATAGGTGTAATTTTGACTCATTCACACCGGACAGCTATTGTTGTGCTGGCAGTCGTCACTTCTTTCTGTGACAGTCTAAGGGAAAAGAGGTCAGTGCCCTGACGAGTAGTCAGGTATTCCGAGTTTTAAAAATTCTTATAGCACACAGGTTGAAAACTGAGGTCTGTTGAAAGAAGTCTGTTAAGTGGCCAGAGCAGGTCACTGAGTAATGCAGAGCGCAGCACAGCCACGAGAGGACTTGGAAAGGAACCGTGCCGTTTGCTCGGCGAGACACTTGATGCTGAGGAGTGGGTACACATTCTGCCCCGGCCGTGTCTTGAGTCCATATCGGACACACCAGTGTTTTAACACAAGCTGTTGCTATGAAGCAGTGTCATGTCCTCTTCTCACGAGCAGGGAGGCCACAGTGTAGACGGCCTCTGGGCTGAGGAGTGGCCAAACACGAAACCTTTCGTCTTCATCCAGCTGCTAAGAATATACTGTTAGGGTTACCTGAGATTCCCTAAAATTCCGGCTTAAACATCGACACTGCCCAGAGCGTGCACACTGGGTGCAGTCAGATCTGTGCACACACGTGAACACGCCGAAGGAGCCAAAGCACGAATGACGCCGCATCAGCGACGACGCAGCAGGTGAGCACCGCGCGCTTCGACGGGGTCCGGGAGCTGCCCGAGAGCAAGAGCACCTCCTGTACGTGCTGGTTTCAGGCTTGTCACTCAGCAGACGAGGCAGCAAACCAGAGACCGGTCACACCCACTTACCCCCCACGAGATCCAAGTATAATTAGTCTTACTAGATTTTGTCTTTTTTGATATCACGTTTACGTTCAGGGTAGTAATCAAAATTTATCTTTCATGAGCATTGTGGTTGAGTCAAATAAAAGTATTTTTTATTCAAATAAAGAATAAAGTCTAAAACCTTCATGTAAGGAATTGACTGACTGATGAAAGTGTTAAGACGATTCCCATTGGAGGGGAAATTGAGTTACGTACAAAAACACTGGTTTAACTGGGGCACAAGAGTTGGATTAGAAAGTCATCACTCTAGATATGACCTACTTTTATTTTTAAACAGCATTTGATTTTTTAAAAAACAAAACCTATGTCATCTTATTTCCACTCTGATTATAAAAGGACATGCAATGTGTGCGTATATGTATAATCCCCATTTGAAATTATTGATGCTCGCTCTTTTTTTTTTTTTTTTTTCCTTATACGGAGAATATAAGGAGGGGAAAAGACGAGCTTCAAGTTATAATGTTAATTTGAAGGTAACCGATCTTTCAAGAATTAATTTCAGCCAAAGCAATAATCATTATTTACCAGTGTGTGACATTTTTAGCACTCATCATATTAGCAAATTTCCATTGAAAATGCTAAAATGGTTCGTCATAAGGCAGATAACTGCTCTAGCTGTAAAAATGACCAACACAAGTGCCGGCATTCAAACATTAAATTATACTGTAATTAATAAGGACAGTTAAACTGTCTACCTAGCAACAGCAATTTAGGTAACCACATTTGATCGGCTATAAATTGTGACTACATTAAAATTCCAGAAATATTAGCAATATGGATCCCTCGATGGAAGTCGGCGCTGATCACTAGTGCTTTTTTTTTTTTTTAAACAATGGAAGTACAGGTCAGGTTGACCACAAATCCATGGACGCAGATCAGGCCTTAGCACTTTCAATCTTGTGAAACAAGCAATTACAAATAGCGGCATCGATTTGGTAAAAAGCTTTAGGTGACATAAATTGTTTCCTGTTTAGCTTATTGCTCTGATGCATAAATGTCACCGAGTCCAGTATTAATTAGGGCCGTGGAAGAACCCACGGTGGCTTCCAAAGATTTGTCAGGCCTCCGAGAATGTTCCCACGGGCAGCTCTCGCTGCCCCTCTCACGAGAATGGAGAAGCTGCTGAAGTGACGTCCTGAATATCAGCTCCATTTCAGGCTCCAAACCGAATTGCAGGGTTTCAGACTTGTTTTCCTACCACTTGACAAAGCACCACATTTTTAAAATATCTTCTAAATAGAATAACATTTACAGGCATGTCAGCCTCTGAAAAGTTAACACTCTCCCTTCTCAATATATGGTACTGTACATGTCTCCTTGGTTGATATTTCTACACTTAAAATACAATTTTAAATGGCTTGTGCATGTTATTGACTTAACATAAATCAAATGTATCGTATATACTTTCTTTAGGTTGGCAGACCACTTAGAAAAATACATTAGATTCTAGGGGGAAAAAGTCTGGAGAAAATTTATTAAATAGAAGTTTTTACTGTAATAGAATATTAACGGAGGCCAGTGCTCATTTGCCATTAAGCTGATCCTTTTTTAACATACACATGCTTTTTATTATTTTGCACTCAAGCAAAAATTCCACATTCAAAGACTTTCCATCTAGTCGGGAATGTCTCTGGCAAGAAACACGTAAGGAACCCTGACCCTTAGAGAGACAGCAGACAGCGTCCTTGCGAGCTCCGGCCCCGCCAGGCAGCGGATAAAAGCCACCCTGACATGGAGGCACAGGCGAGCCCACCGCGAGGACCAGGGGACCTGCTCTCCAGCCCTCCCCACCAGGCTCGACCGGCACACAGATGAAAATGTTTGATTTGCAACATAAAAGATTCATTAATTACCACTTGAATATTTAAAGCTATTTTGCAGTCTAACAGAGATAGATAAAGCAGTGAATTAAAACCTCTAATAAAATTGTAGAAATATTTCAGTACGTTTACCCATGTTATGATTTGGAGAGAGATTCAAGCATTCTCACAGAACAGAGTCTTAGCAGTTTTCAAGTGTGTATTTGAAGAAAGGAGCTACGTGTTCTGGGAATAATCTGTTTCTCACTTTCAAATGTTTACTAATACTTTATTTTTGAGTTAAGCTTGCTACTTTAGGGCTGTTTGGATATGAAAAAAATCGACCAAGCAGGTTGGAGAATTATGTGTCCATTCCAGAAATTAAAATACTTTCAAAAGTATCCCACTAG